GAAGGCTCCAGGCCCAGAGCCAAGAGCCTCCGCGAGCCGTGAATCGCGGACCAAGAAGCGCGGCGAGGCGGTGAGGCTGAAGGGCGGCGCCGGGAGCGCTGCTGCGGAGAGCGGCTCGTTGGTCTAGGGGTATGATTCTCGCTTCGGGTGCGAGAGGTCCCGGGTTCAAATCCCGGACGAGCCCAGGCTTTTTCTCGAGCCACACCTGCATCGGAGGAGGATTTTATTTTCCTCGCACAGCCCATTCGGCGACTGTTCTGTCCCCCGAGCTCCGGCGTCCGTCCCCGGTCTTCGAAGTCAGATCGAGCGGGCTCAGCTCCTGCGGTAGCCCGAACCGTGCGGCCGAGCGCAGGGCCCTAGAGCCCCGGGGCCTCGCTCGTCTCCGCTGCCCGCGGCCTCCTGCGCACCTGGAAGGCCACGGGGCCGTGGCAGCTCCGGAGCCCGCGAGCCAGGGGCGGCCCCTCAGGGAGCACGAAGCCCGCGGGCCGAGGACCCCCGGGGGGCGCCGCTCACCCGCGGGCCGGGGCCAGGTTTGTGTCCCTCACACACTGGGTCTTCGCGCCACTCCTCGTAGAGTATTTGAGAGTGAAGCGCGCTGTAAGTTCCAGTGCGTCCCTCTAGAGTTTCGTAGTCACCGCGTTGATCTACCTGTGTCCCCAAAAGTCAACCAAACTGCGCCGTGCAAAAGAGGGCTCGTCCGGGATTTGAACCCGGGACCTCTCGCACCCTAAGCGAGAATCATACCCCTAGACCAACGAGCCGCCGCGGTTCTGCGTTTTCAGTCATCATAAAGGAAGGTGGAGCAGTTTAGTCAATGCGCCCCCAAGTGGTTGTTCGTGTTTATATTCTCTGTTTTTTGTTTTCTTGTTTTAAATAGCCCTCTGTTTTTTTATTTTCCTTTTACTCCTTGAAAATAAGCGACACAGAAGGAAGCCACGATGTCATCACCAACGTAATACTGACCTCTTATTTCAAAACCATAATTCTATTTATATCCATGACTAATAAACTGCACGGAGCAGGTAGCAAAGTCCCGGTGGCAAATTCCAGACTCTCCCCTTTACGGAGTTTCGCAGGTTGCACTCGTTCTCTGTCCCTTTATGGTAAGATTGTTGGTTTCTTGCGGATACTTTTTAATGCCAGAGTTCTAAGTCCCACCTTGCCGTCCCTGTGTTTTTACTGGGACTGTTCTCTTCAGCAGGAGAACCCATCTGCTGTGTCTCAGACTCTGACCTTGCCACAAAAATATCTTTCAGCATATCGAAAACAATTTATGTGGCATATGATTGGGTTGAATCTTGTCTGATTTATCAGAGGGCGGGATACCTGGCACCATCACTGAATTCTACTGTATAATTGCCAACCAATTGTATAATTGCTGCCTATTGTCCCAATATCTTTCATTAAATGTAGAAGGAATGGCTTCTTATCTATATTTTAAATTTTTAAATACTTTGCATTGAGGTAGAACATCTTTAGCAAAGCTGGGACTCAGTGAATAATCTGAATGACTGAAATCTGTCTCAAAATCCTTATCAATACAAATTTTGGAACTTGACAAACTGTAACTGAATTCTCAATCTAGCAAATCACTAACCAGATAGGAAACAACAAGTAGGTGACTATCCAAGAAGTAGACTCGTTTGATCATTTCACAATTCATTCATTCACTCATTGTCAGTTTGTTCACTGTTAATTCATTCAACAAGCATTTGTTATATTTTGTGCTGGACAGTGAATTGTTAACTTTCTTCCAAAGGTTTGACATCAGAAAATTGCAGGCCTGGAGTTCTAACTTTCAGTCTCCACCCTTCTTTGTTTTATTTGAAACTGCCCTGGCTTCAATTCTTAGGGCTCAAGGCAAGAAGGATAAAAATATCCTTTAAAATGTTAATGAGTTCTAGATGCCAGGACAGTTTATTCACCAAAATCTAACTGGGGGGGAAATCGAGGAAGCCACAGTTTGCAATTCTTTAGGCAAAGTAACCAGTGATCACAAGCAAGGAGGGCTCCATGCTCTCCTTCCCCACGGGAATCTAGAACAGTTATTATCCTTGTAGGTTTTTTCCCCCTTTGTTCTTCTCTCTTGTGATTGAAAGGAGTTTGTCTTTTACTCCACAGGCTAATACTAGTGTGTTCCATTTGTCCCCCACAAAGATGCAGGAAGCTGACTAACAAAACTCAGAATGTCCACTGCCCATTTACAGTGGGAAGTGTCCATCTCTGGGTGGGCAGAATGTCTGTAATGTCTGTAGGTGACTACAGAGTGTGTTCTTCCTGAGTCAGGTCTCTACCGGCTGAGCTGAGGGAAAAGAAGTCTGGTGACACATGGTCCTGTAACAGTAGTGAACAACCTCCTGTCTCTCGCCCTGTTCTCTGAGTTTGCTTTCCCTGTTTCCCTGGTGAACCTCTATCTATTAGCACAAAAAGACCAGGATGAACGCAAACTTCACAAATCTGCTCAGCGCTTCATTCAGAAAGGAAATTTCACACAGAAGCAGGGGATGCAGGAATGAAATGAGCTGTGGTGGGACCCACTTTCCTGGTGGAAAATGAGCCCCCAAACAAAGAAGGGGCCTGGGCCTATACAGGTTATTCTGAGAGGTGGTCTGGTGACCATGTCAATTTTCTCTGGGCACCCAGGAATTTGGAGTTTGCTCTATCAGTCAGTGAAGGAGTCAGTTTTAGTGCTTAGGAATTGAGGGTTTGTTTGAAATGGGAGGGAGTCTAGGGTCAGTAGTCAGTTTCTGGAATTTATTGTATTGGACCTGAAGGAGGGCCTGGGGTCAGTGAAGGTTATCTGGAAAGGATTTATTTTTAGAAGGGTTAATGCTTCAGCCTCTTCCCGGAGACTGCCTTTCTAGGGCTGATGGACACCTCTTCCTCAGGGTTTGTTCTGTCACTGGGAAAGGATCAGTGCTCTCAACGTTGGGCTTTCCTTCTCACTTCCTTATCCCAGGGCCCCCTACTTTTGGGGGTTGTCATTTTCCATGTCTAATACTCTCATTAAATGTCACCTCAAATGTGACACTGCTGTGAGTCTTCCCCAGATCCTCTTGGGCCAGCTTCCCAAGCAGAGGGAGGTCTGGGTATGTTAGAGTCCACCACAGCACTGGGTCCTGGAGGACGTGTGGGTCCTTGGAGGGCCTTTGGCCTGGCTTTCCCCCTTTATTTCTCCTTCTCTTTGAGCATTTTAAGGAAACCGAGGGCACTGGTAGACTGCACACTGGTCAGAACATCCTCTGTTGAATTCATGCGTTTGTATTCTTTCTGGTTCACTCCAGACACACTTCAGAAGGACCTGGCTGAGAGAAACAGGACAGAAGGGTTGGGTTGAGGTCTTAGATTTCTCTCATTAATGATAAGTAATTAGGAGTTTGCTGGAGTAGGAAAACCAGCAGAGACTGACTCTAGACAAAACTCCCAAGTGAGAGGTGGCATTTGGGGTCTTCGGCCACTCCTCCCCTGCTCTTTCCCAGCCCCCCCCCCCAGGCCTCCCAGAGGGTCCATTCTCCACCTTCAAGGGCGGTTCAGACAGAGCCCCCTCTGAAGCCAGGCAGATAGGCAAGGGTGGGGATCAGAGAATGGGGAGGACTGAAATGTTAATTCCTTCAGAGCCCTTCCTCCCACCTTATCAAGATAACCTGCCTGGGCTCCGACCAGCGGCTAAGGTGACCTGTCCCCGGGATTGTCCCCTCCTACAGGAAGCTGTTAATTACCCGCCTTCCGGCCCAGATCACTCCACCAGGCCCCTCCAGCCCCTCTCTTCTCACCTTGGGGCCCTCCCTGCGAGCATCTCCTGGCCCAGTCACTAGCAGGAAGGAGAGAGACGGGGAAGACCAGGGGAACAAAGGAGGCCTGTGGCACCTAGAGAGGCGCACGCTCTCACTTCCTGGGAGACGGGGATAGCTACGGCCCCCTGCGCCCTCCCCCCTTTTTAAATAGGCCCTGCACACCCCAGCGAGTGGGGGACAGGCTCGGTGTCACTTGGTGTAGACGTGCACAAGTACAGCAAACACAAGGCACGGCCCGCGTGGCCCGGGGGGTGGGAGAGTCCCAGTTCCCACCCTGCCCGGCCACCAAAGGGCCGAGGACAGGCTCCGGGGAGGTGGGACAAGATGGGGACTTCTTTCCAAGCTGGCAGATCTCTCAAGTGCAGCACATAAATCATCCAGTCCAGGCAAAGGAGAGACTGGGGACAGGGCTGGGGAGGGCGGATCAGGAGCGCCCGGTCCAGGCCTGGACCTGGAGTCTCTCCCCACCGCGCTCTCAGCTCATCCTTTCTCCCTTTCCCTTTTTTTAGCTAGATGAACTCCTTCCTTCTCCCGAGCGAGGCCGGGAAAAGCCGAGCAGGGCTGAAACGGCGCGGTCGGCCCGGGCGAAGCTCCACGGCGCCGGGGACAATGGGGCGCTGGGCCGGCCACGCAGGCAGGGGAACGCTCGGCGGCGGCGCTGG